TTTTGATGGTTTTTCTCTGTGCGTACCGAATGAACCAAATCGCATAAGTTTGCGGACGAATAGCGGTAAGAGAAATGAGATCCCGTTCTTTACTACACCGCATGGAATGAAAATCAGATGACAAAGCACTTGAATTTTCCGGTTAATGTCCAGTTTCAGTTATTTTTCTGTTGTTTTCTTACAATATTGGGCGTTCTGGAGGAAACGTTGATTTCTGCTGTTTAATCTTACTCGAGTTGCAGCGTCAATCCGCTAAACTTCAAGGAAACTAAATATAGTTTATTCAGGCAACAGCTTCCCTCTGAATAATTATATTCTCGCAGAGCCGGGGCGTTTTTTAAATAGCATCCTTTCGAATGAGTGACATTTACCTGTGATGGTTCGGGCTAACAAAAGAAACATAAGGTCTCTTCTAAACCGACTGCTGTCGTTCTCTTCAATCATTTACCGTTTCGCTAAAGGTAGCCGGTACTCCAGGATCTGAGCAATTCACCCCACAAATTGTCTTCAGTTTGAACAATCCACATACCACCAGATGTGGAGTCAGGGGTCGAGTGGTTACGTAATGCACACACTGCAATGCACATATAACGATGAGGAAAATGTATGACAAAACGCAATAGACTTTAGATTATAATTAATCCTTAGTCTGCACAGGTGACGCTTTATGGTGACAAACTTCATGTCTTGATGGTAAGCAATGCCCTGCGGCGAAATTTAGTACCTCTTGGATCTAAAGGTGGACGTAACACAGAACTTACTGAAAGATTTCGGAAGAAATCTGCCTCGGCTTAGGTTAGTCCCCCTGAGTTTTAAACAGAGCTTCTGGATTCAAACTGTGTAGCGGGTGTCATTTATATGCTCCAGATCGGGAGCAATGCTTTGTGTGAAAATCCATGACGTTTTAGATTCCTCATTTAGAGGAGTTACCAGCACTCGAAGCCATCATGGAGTTCCCGCCACGTCTGAGCAACTGGTAAAAAACAAGGAAATCAGACATTCCAGAATAAGATCTCCATGAGTGATCACCTTTAAACCGGGATATGGTAGCAGCAGTATCCGTCAGCTAGGTTAGAGTAATCACTTATCTCGGACAGATGCCGCCTACCCAGGATGTGTAGGCGGGTTGTGGTTTGCCTCTTGGGGAGAGCACGAAACATATGATTCGTAAAATGGAAAAAGTCAACAGTGTAGAAGAACGCACCCGCTTCATTTACCGCTCAACATTATAAACAGACGGGTTTCTGTATTTCGCTATTCTAATCAAGAGCAGGGGACGAGGTAAACGCCTTGATTTTATTTAAGATCACAGTGGCAGTTTTCACTTACACCCATTTGCTGAGAGGTAGGTTTTATTGATAAACACAAAGCTCGTTGTAGAACTCCCAACCCCTAACTCATTAGTGCGGGAAGTTATGCCCGTGTGTCATTTATAGATGAACAAATCGTTGATGTCTGCATTACAATGCGTGCACTGAAAAAACAGCTATTAATCGACCTTTGAACGGGAAGTCTCTGTCGTCAGTACGTGTCAAAATCATATGAAGCAGATTTCGCAGCAAGCAGCAACAACTTCGTCCCTATCCGTGTGGGATTCTGTTGATCATGTGAGCAGCACATTAAGTGGCAAAACCCTCGAGTACAAAATAAAAGACGAAACATTTATTGGATTATCTGTCTAAAAGCCGTCAACAAAATTAACTGAATGTAAGAAAGACCTGTGTAGCCTACTGTTGCCACGGGATCAAAATCAAGCTGTTAGACTACTTATGTGGCGGAAGTTATGTGGATCCCACAATCTACACGATTTCTTGTCATTTTGACAGAAATACGTGCATTATCAAATCCTTTCCACAACACTTTATGTCACTACTCTTACCATAAAATAGCCAAATTTTCCGTCCCCGAGTCGATTTTACGCACTTTTATGCCAAAATTACCATTGAGATACGAACATTCTCAAATCTGGCGTGCACACGCTTTCTGTTTGACTAATGTGACGTCTGTTGTCTGAGAAATAATGGGTCGATCGTCATCTGTTGGAATGTTTTTTATCAATGCAAGAATGATGAAGACGCTAGAATTTTGGCGCACATGAATATAAGCAAAAAACTGGTAGACAATAAGCAAACCAGTTAAAAGTTAGTAGAGTGCTCATGTTTTTTATCACAATTTGTAAAAATATAACTATATTTTTGCATGTAAGCGCGGTGGTGCTACAACCTAGTAGAGTTGTAGCCTATTCGGCTATTTTCTACAGCATGACCGTATCCGAGGTAGGACCGGTGCATACAAAGTAACACATTTCTGAACTCTCCTGGGGAATCGTTTTATCAAATTTGGAGTTTATCCTAACTGTAATCCTACAGGGTTCATCTTGAATAATTTACTCGTATTACTGCAATGGGTTTATACTTTTTGAATCATATCATGATAGTTAATGCTCAACATTTTAAACCCCTTTTCAAAACGAGGGAAGAATGGATCTTTAGTGTTAAATACCTTAACGACTTTGATTTTAATTAGGAAAACAGAGCACTAAATACAAATTAACGTTCCTGTCGGATTAGATCAAACTTTCAGATAGCTGTTCTGGAAGAGATTAATAGGGGTCTGTAAGACTAATTACACATCACTAAGGTCTGACGACATTTCTTCTTGAAACAGTAGCACATTAACAGTGTCCATCTGACAAACGAACCCTAATCAGTCATCGGAAAAACCTACGGCGCTATGTGCCCGGGATTTGTGCAAGACGTTCTGAAAAAAGCCGTCAATTCACTGTGACCTTGGTCACTGGAATAAATCGTTGGTCTTACCCAAAGAGAATAAGACGCTCCATTTCCAGAGGTTGGACTATGTAATCTGATGATTGTCATTCAGGAAGCATATTAAGTAGGGAGAGATGACTCAGTGGTTAGAGCGCGAATATGTTGACAAGAAGGTCCGTGGTTCGAAGGCCTTATATCCATAAGGCAGTTACGTTGGATTTCAAAGTTAGCTGGTCAATTCGTCTACTGAAAGAATTCTACAGACGATCAGCGAATTTAGGCCTTCATCCAGGCAGACTGGAAACATGACCAGCCTAGTTGTTCATATGGAAAAACACGAAAATCTTTCGATATTACCCAATGGGTTTTATTTGGTTCACTAAACAAGTTGAATAATCCAAAGATTATGCATGCCACTTGAGATCTCCATATTCTCCTCAACACCAAGTTTTCGTGGCACTTTTCAATCTAGTTAATGTAGATGGTCTTGGATGTCTTGGATGTCTTGGGCGTCTTGGATGTCTTGGATGATGCACTAACTTTGGTCTAGTGAAACAGCAGAGGTTTATATCACTTTCTATCATTTCCAACCAAGAAGAAAATGAAGGAAACGTATAGTTCAACGAAAATTTTCGTTTATTCGTTGTCCATCTTAGTACGAAATTGGCGTCTGTACTGAAATTGCAATGTTTTAGGTTGACCCTTATGGATTTAGGGATTGAAACCCATTTTGGGCCTAGAATGAATAGTTAGAAGGGGCGGGTTACCTGGATAAGATCATCTAACATTTGTCAAATGATATATTATACATTGTATAGCACCTTGTAAAGAGCTTTTCACCAAACAGTGTACGTAAAGCACACTAATTAAGAATCACTTGCTCGTACATTTAGTTCATACTACCTCAGGATTACTATCAAATCGTAGAAAACCTTACAAGTGCCTTAATTATAATGTCAGTACAGTTGATCATGGCTCTGGGGCTATGTGATCCAACTACATCTGACATTTCGGCGTCAAGTGTGGGCGTAGTGACATTCCAATAAATGGTATGTCACTGAATGTATGACAAAACTTTGGACGGACAAACAAGCACAAACAAGACACTACACACAAAAGGTTAAGCTGGGGTCCACTTGAGTCTTCCATCAAAGCCAAATAGGCATGCAAATGAGTGTAATTCACCAAACACAAAGTAGTTTATCGACTGGATTTGACCCATCGGATGAGACAAAGTGCAGCCTGTGCATCAATCTTAAAGGTACTCTGCTACGCTACTGTCCATTTGTGATCGGTCTTATTGCATCTTTCAGTTTACCACTCGAGTTCACCAGTTGACCTTCGAGTCCTAACGAAGGAGAAGTACCATATATTTCCTAAGGAAATAGTAACTACATCCTAACTTAGAAGTCTGCAAAACATCAACAATAAAGCAGTTGCAAATATAAAACTTGACAAAAGCGCCGCAGAACCAGTACACGGTTTTCGTGTGGTGAAAACAAGGTTGGAACAATGAAATTACTCCCATTGAACATCAAAACGAATAGTGATCTTCTGGAAGATGGGACGGGACAATAAAGAATAATAAATACGCAGCAGGATATAAGGTGCTTCAACCATTTATTTAGATTGAGTTCACTCTGTATGCACTAAATTCCAACAGTGGACATGAGCATCTATTTAGTCGATAAATGTATTCCCTACAGACAACTTATTAATTGCTTCAGAACGTATAGAAGATTTTTGTCTCACTAAGAATTTAGTAATCAATTTAGTTTTCAATATGGCTTTCGAAGACCACCGTTTCATATCATCTGGCTATATTTTACATCTATAGACAATCCTGGGAACACTCCATCAGTTGTTCTGAATTGCCTCTAAATCTGTTACGCATCCGCAGTCATCCTATTCTTGTGGTAACAGAGACAGCGGCAGACTTAACTTTGTGTACGTCACATACATTAACTATCTTCGCACTCCTGAAAGACAGCTGTTTAATCAAATGAACTGGGTCTTGGGTATGTTGACGGAATAGATGCATTCTCTGCAAGAAACCAAATTTTCCCATTCAAAACAAAAAACATTGGCATTAACGGTTCTGAAGGAAAGAATGTATTACGTCAATGCTGCGTAACAAATATTCAGGCCATACACTCATCAAGGAAGACGAAGGAAAATACTGCAAAAGATACAAAAATAGTTTGACTCACTCAGATGGTAGTCTCATTTTTATCGAGCAAATCCCGGATTATCATAAGCAGCAATGTTTTGTTGCGTGAGATACGGGAAAGACATTATCACGTTTTTGCTACCTTTTAGTATGTTTTGGCTGGTTGGGGTTAAAGGCGGTTTGCTGTAAACGTCAGAAAAAGGAACTGGTGTACTGGAATCTGCACCGACGTAACCGGATACGGTAACGTTGAATAGATCGAAGTATTGGTATATGCATGGATATGGTTTTTCGTCAAAAATGCTTGTCGGTTGATTAAGAAACATAACAGGGCTAAGAGACTGTCGTTTGCAAAAGGCTGCAAATGAGTCGCATTCCGTTAAATGTTCTATCACACTTGGTCGATTGTAGATAACAAAGAATACTGGACGGTAGGCACGGTGCAAATGTTGTCGTATTGTGGAAGCACCGGACATATGAGTTTGCTTTCTTCCATGCTGGTACGAACTGAGCTCGGGAGATGCTTTTGGACAGTGTGATAAATCTGGGGAGATGGGGCTCTCTTTGGAGTCTGAAACGCCACTGTATCCATTCTTTTTTGGGGTTTCATCGGCACTCCCCGTCCTTACTTTGCTACTTGAAATTGTCAAGAAGTCATTGGAGGCAATATCGTAATACGAATGCGAAGAATTGTGTGAACCAGTCTTCTGCTTGGAATCTGATCCGTTTATATTATCACCAGTTTCTTGCGATCCACGAAAAAACAGAATAAGGTTTCGGTAGCCATAAATATCTGACCTGCTATAACCTTCTGCTGTTGAGCCTGCTGACAAAAAATGTGTAACAATACTTAGGTTGTGACAGTTTTCTCCACCAACCTCGTTATGTCGCAGACCTGCTAGCGTCCAAATTTCGCCCAGTCGCCAAGTTAGTTGTTCATTTGTAATGGCAAGTGGGATGGTTTTGACGCATTTACAGTAACTACTAGGACGGCAATCTTCATCGAAAAGCAACATAGGTGTCAACACTTCTCCAGTTGTGGTCGTTATCTTTCCCAGTTTGATGGCTTTTAACACGACATCGACGACGTAATCTGCTGCGGCATGTATAGCTGTGAGGCCACGTAGCATACTTAATTGGTATTCATAAATGATACACAACTGCTGGGCGAATGATGATATCCACTTACATCTCTGCGACTCACTGGTTTGTTCATAGAATGAGTATAGCTGGTACGATGCTTGTACGGGAAATCTCCGCAATATTGCTAGATCAGTCGGACTTTGAGGATTGGAGGAACATGGCCATTGAAGGAGTTTTTCTGTTGCGCTATTGCTGTAACCATCTAAATGTGCCTCATCCTGTACTTGACTAGAGCCATCTTGAAATTTCTCAGGGGAGACTAAATCGTGTGATTGACTGTTGCTTGTGAATGATAGTCGTCGGAATAACGGGGAGTTTGTGAGAGACCTGATACGCATCAATGGAGACTTTTGTTTACCCACTGAGTTGCGCTTCTTGGTTAGCAGATCACTCTGGCGACATGGTTCAACGACTGGAGACATCTTACTTTGGTGATGAAACTGGTCCTCTAGCAGCTGACGCAATAGTGGGAGTTCGTTGTTCTCTGATAATAATGGTGGGGAGTCGATGCGTAAATGGTTACCGGGCGCACGAACTGGGGATGAGCGTGTAGATGATATATTTCCTGAGGAAGCGTGACGGGACAGAGCATGAGTCAATTTTCCCTCGAAAGACTTCACAGTTCTGTGTACGAACCACTTTAAGTTCAACAATATCTTTTCACGGTTTGGTGTGGAATTCATGGTTGGGGTTTCGGCTTAGTTCAGAGCACAGTTGGAGAGAAGACTTCAACCCCCAGCAGGGTTGCTAACCTCTAACGTGATCACCACGTGAAAACTTATATGGCATTTTGGTCTTCGATTCCTGAGCTGTGGTTGGTCGGCAAACAGGTCATAGCGAAACACACGTTAGACACCTGTCCATAGTCTCCATAAAGAAGTAACGATTATAAAAAAAATTCTGCAGTGATTACGGGTAGTCGTTTCAGACGTTTATATAGGATTAATCAAAGAACTTTTCTTCAAGTGCTTCAGAATTATTTTACTCTAAGCGCGGGATTCCAATTCTCAAGGTCACGTCCACTACCTTGTTGACTTTTTGAAGGCTTTGAGATTTTTGGTATGAGTACCTAACCTTTTACTCTTATATGAGGATTGGCTGTGTGCAAGAGTAAAATAAGTGCATAAATATGCCTGGTAGTGTTAAAGTCAAAATAATGTCAGCCCGGAATCTCCCAATAATGGACCGGGCAACCTTATTGACCGACGCGTTCGTCGAAGTGAGTTTCCTTTAACTTTTTGTTCATGAGTTTTCAGATTCGAATTGGCAATACAAGCTATAAAACTGAGGTCGCTCGTCGTTCTCTGAACCCCTGCTGGAACAGTGAATGGTTTTGTTTCGAGGTAAGCATCGTCTCATCCCGACCAGATAGTCTGCTCCTACGCATCACGTAGCTTGACGATCAGGCGCTGCAGGAAGAAGCACTACTACTAAAGTAGGAAGAACATGTTTCTTATCAGTTCCTAGGGTAATGGACCACGATACCTACAGTTCACATGACACGATCGGGCGCGTGTATTTTGATCTGAATCCGCTCCTCAGTCGAGGGCATTCAAGATCCCTTAACGGATGGTTCCCTATTTATGATACTATGCACGGTGAGCATGTGGGCTGCATTTGCTGACTCACTTTTAGGAATACGTGGGGAGATAAGCCTTTCAATCCGAGTGGATGTTTTCTTCGATGCCAGTCGCTACCGGCAGTCATCTCTTGGAGTACAATTCTTCCATAGTGAGTCTCATACCCGGCCCACCTATATTTGCCCAGCCTTTGTTGTCTTTACTACTTACGCATTACCGCGTATTGGGCCCTTGTTTTTTTTTCAAGTTTCACAAACTGCAAAACCCATTGCGTCGGTTGAAGTCAGTTGAAGATGCGGTTTAAAGAGTTCTGGGGACGACTAACAAGGAGGGGGAAAAAGCTCCTGTAGTAGTCGAGGCGATTGTGCTGGTTTTCTGGCTTCAAATGTTTTGGTCGGAAGTTGTATGTCGACACTAATGATAACAGCGGGTGACACGAATAAGGCTCTGGAACTTATAAGGTCTAATCGTAAACTGCTACAAGAGACTTGAAATAAGTTTAGGGCATCCACCCGTTCGCCGTTGGTCAGGTTACGCACTTTTTGGACGACTTTATCTAACCCCGGTTGTGCTTCTAATATTTGTCTGAGCGCCCTTGAGCTCAGGCGGCAACACAGTGCTCTACGTGAGGAATACATGCAGTAGTCTGCTGGCAAGTTTGGCTGCTCTGGGGTGCGGTGGGGAGGCGGTGTCGTTTGCTTGCATTGTTAGCAACCTTATCCCGTAGAGGTGAAATGCCAAGGTTCTGTTGAATGGCGGTTCTCAGGTCATCCTACGTAGCATTATTTTGTAATTGGTGGTGGCCTTTTGAGAAGATGTGGCATTTATTAACATTGATTGGAAAGTGGTTGTCAACTGACTATCGACAAGCCAACTGGTTTTTTCTGAAATGCAGGACAATACTGCGTCCTCCGGGCGTTCTGGATATTAATATTAGTATTATTGTGCGGATTTGTACGGCAATGCTATGCTGGCAAGCAAGTCACTTATGGAGATAAGAGACACTACTGGGCTCTGCGGTGAAACATGCGATACGCCAACGTTGATGGTTTTGGATCTGATATACTCCCAGATTTTGTTATTGTTTAGTAGATTAGATGGTGTTCTGTTTATGGTTTCAGTGAATCCTGAACCCTGTAGACCGCCAGTTTTCCCAGAAGGATTTGGAGTTGTTCCTTACCGAAGGCCTTGGAGTAGACCGATTAGGCGACGTACACCTTACTGACGGCAACAGGTCTTTGGTTCAGCCGTCTCTAGTGTGCCGGGAATGTAGGATGAAGGATCACTTGTACTTTCACCAAAGCTGCTAATGCGGCAGCACTTTTTGATGCTATGCTTGTTCCCAACCACCATTGTCCTGTAGTCAGACATTTGAGCCAGCAACTTCGGTTTAGGACCCTAATCACCCTCTGTCTACGTTTGGGCGCCGTGGTATCCCACATACAATCAAACAGTTAAAAATGTTGCGTGGTGACATTAGCTGGGGCGTCTTATCCGTTGCATACAGCAGGATGGATGGGTGAGAACGCGAATGCCAAGCCTTCCCATCTTTCTCTGTTGTTATCTCATAACTCCTGTCTTGTCTCACTTGACACTTACTATAATGCAGATCCCAGCTATGGGTACGTCAGTTAGACTGCTATTGAATTGGCGCGCCGAACACCACCGCCCACACCTAACGCTCTACGTCCACTTTTCAGGCCTCGTCTTTCCTTTTTTATTGCAGATTTTAGCGGAAAATCCTTTGAGTAGATTAGCAAATAGACTGCTCTTGCACGTACTCCAGATAATATATCGATTGACGCATGCTGCATCTCTGGAGCCCAGAATCAGGATCCAAACATATTTGCCAAGATTACAGCACCGTCTGTATTTAGATGCTACGGACTAATGGACTTGAGTGATCTCGCACCCACCGCAGCAGTTTGCGCTGGTATTGACACAACTCTAAGTTTGCGAACGGATGCATCATGGTACACCGAGATATCTGTGAACAGCGGCCTCTTTGATACCCGGTTTTCTATTTTGATGTGAACCCTAATCATCTAAATACTGAATGCCCTTTCTTGTCGGCGTCGTCCTGAGTTATCAGACAGAAAGATCCTTGCTTTTTGTTGATGGCTCAGGTAGCCTAGATGGTCCTTGGCACGCTCACTGACCTGGGCAATTTGACTGTAAATGTTTGATAACCAGTCGAAGTGACATCATCAGTGTGTTGTTGTAGAGGGTAGTGGTACGTGGCGATGGTTTGGTGGCTGTGCCAAAGCACTTATAGAACGGCGTTACCTAGTCCGCTCAAGCACTGGATATCAGACAACAGCGCAGTTTGAATCTCGGTCCCAATCATAATTCAGCCCGATGGATCATCAAACAGTAAGTGAAGAGGAGACGAAGGTACAGGTTTCCGTTCTTTAGCATGCGCTTTGCACCCAAAGTGTAAAACAATGCTGCCATACATTCAATCACCGGGTAAGCCACTTGCACTCCAAGGGGCGGTACTTGAAGTTGTGAAGCGTTTTATGTATCTTGGATGTTTCATTAGCTCCGATTATGGCGTTACAGATGGGTAACTTCACGAATCCCTAAGGCTCAGTTTGCGGTTTCTAATCTAAGACACCTTTGGCAGCAGTGTGACATATCCCTGAATCTCAAGAGACTTCAATATCAGACTACGGTACGGTTGCAAAGATGTCTTCAAATCTACGATTGCCGTTTTCTCGGAATCATAGTTCGCAACAAGAGAGTTAAAAAACTAGTGGTGGTGGCCTTGTAGCAGATTTATATCGACGAATGTGTCCAGCATCAAGAGCTACGGTAATTTTACCACGTGTTGTGCATGTCGAGTTATTCCATGCCCAGTTCATGGTAGCGCAGAGAGGCCGTCGGCCCTTGACCTGGCGGACGGAAATAAAAAATGGGTTACAAAAGTTACGGGTACTGTTGGCACGGATCAAATTCTAGTATGTGGCCAACCTGATCCATCCTGTTTGTGGTTGGAAAAGCCGTCAATTACGGCTGCTACTCGATGTTAGTGGCCTTGTTATCGATTTCTATCCAGAGTGTCCCGAGGTGTAGCCACCTGGGAATTATTGCGGTAAGCTACCAGCAGGTCTCTTCATCCACTGGTATTTTTTCCTCCCAAACGGCTTTCAGATAAATCACAGTTGTACGGCATTGAAGCATCACTTCTGAACATCGATGAACTGCTGACGAATATGATGATGTGGCAGATGTTGCACATAACCAAATGAGACTGACGGCCTAGGCCTATCGACTATAGCGCGTTGTTACGAGCGCCGCCCAGTCATAATGGGATTTCACATGTTTCTGGCGTTAGCTCTTAGTCCTCACCATCTTTACCATAATGGTTTGATAGAGTTTTGTACGCTATTACACGCCTCCGTTATTGAATTGTTCCTTGCACCATTGAGGACTGCTGTTCTTGACGAGATCCTGTGTTCATGTGTGCAAGGAACTTCCGATCGACCTGTTTCTGAATCCTTTTCGCCCAACTCAACTCCGCATTTATGGGCTACAGAGACGCCTCGGTGGTATTGTAGTGAATGGCCTTGCGTCAGACGGTGCACTCACCGAAAGAGCGAGTTGATTTGTCCGCCTGCACAACGCCATGGTCAGAGTCAAGTAGTGTGCTCCCGAACGAATGATAATCTGAAACTTAAACTATTTGTTGGTAGCTGATGACCGCGACAAATTCAGCTGTTGGCTTCCAGGTAATGCCTTGAGAAAGCTTGTGCTAAACGTTTGCGACGGTTGGAAACAAATGATTTCAGCACACAGGAAGTTGCTTTCCATTACCTGAGCGGTGGACAACAACCATGCAATAGACCACAAAGATAGTCTTTTGCTGACTGTAAGAACCAGGTAATTGCCTCACAGTTTCATTCACCGATGATTGGAGAAGTGCAACAACCATGCAATAGACCACAAAGATAGTCTTTTGCTGACTGTAAGAACCAGGTAATTGCCTCACAGTTTCATTCACCGATGATTTGGAGAAGTGCCGCTGCTCACTGAGGACGTCAAAAGACTTACAGTGTTTGAATATCACTGGTGTCGGAGCATTGTCCAATTTTGATCCGAATCAGCAATGCTGGACTGCATCGAATTGTCTTCGGAAGAACCAACGTACTTTGTACCACTTGCTGATCGGTGTATAACAGTTAAGCATCAGTGTGTACTACTTTATGTTTCTGTTAATGATGATTATGGCAATGGATGCTGTAGCTAGCAGTCTCAAAACTGCCGTCCATCGCAGCCTATGCTGAAACAGTGGATAGACTGTTCACCGCGTTTAACTACATTTACCTCATTTGAGGCATTCAACCAAAGAGTGCTGAGATGAACATCTGGGTGAATCTAGTTCAATAAAGCGCTCACAACTTTGGAGCCGAGGGCGTAGGTACTACGAATCATCTGATTGGAGTCGCAGAATGCCCGGAGTGTGAAGTAAGAAACATTACGTTCTTTTTGCGCTATTTAGAATGCACGATTCAACTGGTGTCATGTACATGCGATTCATAGGCACACTATGCCCTCTCTAAAAGCTTGGGCGAGAGGTGATTGTTGACAAACTGGACACATATTAGAGACAATAAGCAGATCCTTCGAATTTATTGGGGATTACTTTGATTTATGCTGTTGACGGACGAATGAATCAAGATGGATTACTTAGAACGGAGTGCGGGGAAGGGTCGGTGGACGAGGAGGTGCAAGGATAAATATTTTGCGCTTGCTTCGGCAAGCTAATGGAGTCTGGTTGAGGTACCCCACTCTGAGCCTGTGACTCAAACAAA